AGCCAAAAGAAATAGAGTTTATCCAGATTTAAATGTAGGAAATGAAGTTAAGATATTCAGGAAAAGGAGACCGAATGAAAAGGAGAGAGTAGGAGTATGGACTAAACAAACCTACAAAATAGCAAAGATTGAAAAGAAGTTAGGACAGGAATATTATTATATTGAAAATTATGACAGGGCATTTTTGAGACATGAGTTATTAAAGGTATAAATTTATTTCTTGGAAAAAAGTATTTAAAGAAATAAAAACTATATATATTATAATAGAAATGGTGGAAACCGAAATCAATAATTATATCAATAAGAAATGCTACGATTGTTGCCACTTTAAAAAAGAAAATATGGAATTATATAAATTGAATTTACCTAATGGAATAGTTAATAATATTATTGATTATTCAATGGATGAAGAAGATATATGCGAAAATTGTAAAACCTGGAGAGATAATCAAGAATTAATCAGATGTCATTTAAATCTGAAAAGAAGACATAATAGAAATGTTGAAGACAACATTATAATATTTTTAACTGTGTATGAAAGACCACCTTATAGTTATGTTAGAATATTTCTCAAAATCAGTAAGAAAAAGTATGAACTGATTAACCACATTTTATGGATATTGTTACATCGTAGAAGAGAAGGGGCTGATGTAAAAGAAGACATTAAATCAGAAATTGAAAGCAAAAAGTTTAATGTGAAAAATACCGTGAGAGATATTAATATTATTTTTGAACTGATGCATGACAGACATAAGATATATACACAATTTAATAATCATCAATTAACTTATTATCCTGAACTTAAATTATAATCATAATATAATAATAACATGTAAAATATTATATGTTATAATTATATTTCAATATGTAATTTTATTTCTTGTAAAAAAGTATTTAAAGAAATAAAAACTATATATATTATAATAGAAATGGTGGAAACCGAAATCAATAATTATATCAATAAGAAATGCTACGATTGTTGCCACTTCAAAAAGGAAAATATGGAATTATATAAATTGAATTTACCTAATGGAATAGTTAATAATATTATTGATTATTCTTTGGACGAAGAAAATATATGTAGAACTTGTAGAAGATGGAGACGATATCAAAATATAATAGAAAATTGTTTGGCGTTTAAAAATATAGATGAAAGAAATGTTGAAGATGAAATATTGATATTTTTAACTGTGTATGAAAGACCACCTTACGATTATGTTAAACAGTTTCTTAAAATCAGTAAGAAAAAGTGTGAAATGATTAATGACATATTATGGATGTTGATTTATTATAGTAAACCCGGCGTTGATGTAAAAAAAGTCATAAAATCATATATTGAAAGTGAACAGTTTAATGTTAAAAATACAGTGAGAGATATTAATCTTATTTTTAAAATGATGTATGAAAGAGGTAAGATATATCAATTAAATTATTATCCTGAACTTAAATTATAATCATAATATAATAATAACATGTAAAATATTATATGTTATAATTATATTTCAATATGTAATTTTATTTCTTGTAAAAAAGTATTTAAAGAAATAAACACTATATATATTACAGTGGAAATGTTATTTAATTATTCAAAGTGCGAATGTTGTACAACTAAAAGGAATGATGTTAATATAACATTGTATAAGTTATTACCCGCCAATCTATGTAATAAAATAAGTGAATATGATGTATATTGTAATCAATGCTGTATAACAAGAGACCTTGAAAAGTTTTTTGTTGAAGAACATAAGGATAAGGGATATACAAAGTTTCAATTACAATTGAAATTCTTTATGAGATATCAAAAACGATTTCCTGTATGTTTTTACCATAAAATTGCTAGAAAGTCATTTGAAAAAGAAATTGATGAGTTCTTTAATAATAAAGATTTAATTAAGAGGTTTGGAGGGGCAAACGCAATTAAACCATATAAAGCATTTGTTAAAAAAATCGAGACATGTTTGAAGCGATTGATTGGCATTTATTAAGTAAAGATAAAATAAACGAGGTCTTGAATGAATTTAGAATAACTAAATATCATGTATGGTCTTACTACAACACTAAATATCAAGTATGGCTACTAGTTAATTTGTTTTTCTGGGAATATATTTATTCAATAATAGGAAAAGACAATATCAAATATATAGACATTGGCGATATTGATAAATATGTAGATTACATATTTGAAGACATTTTTCCTGACTATAAATGTAACCCATAATTATTAATCATACTATAATAATAACATTTATACCCTTATATGTTATAATTATAATGTAAGTATAGCGTTTTATATATTGAAGATAAAATCCTACAAGGACACCACGCCCTAAAAAATATATGATGAAACTGATGAAACGAAGGAGGGAGTGATGTTGTTGCTGTTCTATTTTTTGTCCGGGAAATGGACAAATCGTTTTTAGACAGTTCGAATATTTTTTGATGACAAATATTTTTTGCAATATATTTTGCAAAATTTATTTTTTTGAAATGGATGAGGTGAGGAGATTGAGGAAATGACATTTTGGAGGGTAGTTGGTGAAATGAATGAGGCGAGGAGAAAGGAGAAAAGGATGGCGAAAATTTTGGAAAAATGATGATAAAAAAACGGATGAGATGGACAGAAAGGAATGTAGAAAAATGATGAAAACAAATAAGGGTAGAAGATGGAAGATGAAAAAAATGTAGGGGGGGGTGTATGTATGAAAGCAATTTATTGCTGGGCGTGGCCCTCGACTACTCAATCGCCCGTGGATTTCAGCATTGCAGCTGTTCAGGCTGCAAGCCAGGATGCTGCAGCATCTTCCTGTAGTGAAACTTTCCCTTGCACACATAATTTTGTACGGATCTCTCGGAAGCCATGTCGTTTGCCAGCGTATTTCAGGTGGATGCTTGCTTGTTCGGTGTATGTGACGTCAAGGCTACTGAGCCTGTGGAGGTGTTCGTATTGGAAACGACTTTGGGACCAAGATGCACGAACTGCGGGCAAGCTGGCAGGATGCCTGGGAGCAGCGCGAAGCAACAAACTGTCAGGGTAGCGTTGAACAGTTGCGTATACGGAGCAAGTCAAGGACACCGCGCGTACATATTGGCCCAAGGCCCTTCTTTGACTCAGACTCGAGCACAGACAGAAAAGGTTTGCTGCGTTGCTCTCGCGCCATAGTGTGTAGCAGATCTACCAGAAACTTCCGGTTCTCCACAAGCCACCTGACATCATTGAAAGAGATTCGGGGCCACTGAGATTACTATTATAGCGGGCATCTCCTATTACACCCTTTCAGCTGAGGTAGCAGTCTGTCTGAATCTGGATCTGCTTCTCAACGAGAGAGAACCGATGTTGGATGGATTCAACTGTGATGGAAGCCCTTGGTATATGGATTGTAAGTGTACACACTGGGAGGTCTTTTTCTATGGCAAGTATCAGCTCTATGGGTAGCAGAAGGAACCTTGAGCCATGTATACTTGATACAAATTGATTGTCTAAAGGTTAATGGTCTACAAAACACAGAGCAAAACAGACACATTGTAACGTCGAATCGTACTCTCGAGGCCCTGTTTCCTCGGCAGCGATTCAAGAAACTGAGGAAGAAAAATCCGCGGAGAGTGTCGCGAACTACGCCGGGCGGAGTGTGAGAGCGTCGTCTGTGAGCCGTGAATGTAATCCAGTCCCTGACCAGATCTTCGCACCGAAACCACCGAAGCAGTTTAGCGCTAATTGATAAGTTGATGGTCTCCTCATGTGAAGCTGTTCCGCCTTTATGGCAGCTTCCAAGAATAGCCGTGGCGGAATCTGTTGCATAGTAGCAGTCCTCCTCGCTTTCGGATAACCTGCTCCGCTCCGGAAAAAGGCTTGTTCTTGGCCAGAGCAGCACAAATGCGCGTGACAGCGCGCAGATTGTCTGTGCCCATTTGCTTGCTATGACTATTAGTCTGGCGTGGATTTCACAGCAATATTGACACTGCAGTGTTGCGGCAGCGCTTTAGTAGCATGCGTGAGCGAGGCCGGGTTCAACGCTTTCATGCTTTTGGCTGGCTTTGAGGTGCTTGTGTTTTGGCTTGCTTTGAAGCGTTGTGTGTGTTTGAGTGAGTGAGCCGGCGCCGAAATGCGTGAGGTGCATGTTGACGCGCAGTGGAATCGGGCCAAGCCAGGCCTTAAGTTTAAGGGCTGACAGGGACCCCAGCCAGACCAGGCCTGTCAGCCGCTTCCCAGCTTTGGCCGACGCGAATAAACACGCCGTGCTTGACCTGCAGAACACTATGCTAGCAGCAGCGTGGATGCAAAACAGTCAATGGCTTGTGTGTATCCATGCCGCGCGCTAGCGTATCTTGGAGGCAAACATGGTCCTTACTCGTGTCGTACTTTGCTCGGGTATGTTTAGCAGTTCGTATATAAGTGCAGCCGCCCGTTAGCATATGTTCTCAAACTCTGGTTTCATGGAGGAATGTCTGAATTGCGCTCACAAGACCATATCCATGCACAACCGTGACCACGTATGCCAACTCATGTGCAAAATGCCACTGAATGCAAATGTTCCTTTTTTGACTAACATGTGGGCCTTCCATTTATAGATGTATATATGGGTCATACACACATGTTGAAACAAGTGTCCACTTTGACCCCTGGGTCAGGAGCTTCTCGCAGCCCCAGGTGGGCAACGGTGACCGATCGGTATGTGACCACTAGTCTGGGCAGGAGCGGCCCAGGGATGATGCCCGCGGCCCGAAAGAACCAATGTTTCCCACAAAATATGTGCTGTTTGCTACACTTGGGGAAGGCGCAGCGTTCCCAAGAAGCTCAAGGGCAACCAAAAGAAACTAGTCGTCCCAGTTCACGACCCTCTTGCCACGTCAATCTCGAATGACAATCCATCTCCTATCACCTCATATTCGCGACTCCACGAAGTTGATTCGTGTTTTCCCGCCATGGCTTCATGCACCTGTGAAAGGCAATGTAATGCAACAGACGAAGCCTGCAAGTGTGCTCCCCTTTGCTCGTATGCGCCATGGACATGTCCGGCTATGGTCCTGCTCCGAGAGCACCAGCCGCAGCCTTGGCTTCTCGGAGCTTCTCAGTTTCGCGAGCTGAGAGCTTTGGGATCCGGGCCTGTCGCAGGCCGGAGCCCCCGTCCAGCCCTACCCCGCAGGCCGCAGGGTGAGCGAGTCATGCGAATGCGAATGCTCGAGCGCCAGGCACCGTGCCAGGCACCGTGCCCGGCCTTCCACTCTGGGGCGCGCCGGGCATGCAAACCATGCCACAGTTCCAGACTGGACTGACAGGGCCTGGAATGACTATGCCGGCACCCGTGGGCATACCCACATTTTCCATGGCCCATATGCCCATGGCGGCGCCGGTGCCCACAGCTCCCTTGGCTCCTGTGGCTCCCTTGGCTGCCTTGGGTCCCTCAGCTCCGGTGCCATCCGGGTCCAACGATAGCACGGGTCTCAGCACAGCGAGTGCGGAGTGTGGAGTCTGGAGCTCGGGTGGTGCGACCGCTCCAAGGCTTTGCCGCTGCGGTGGCGGCTGCGGCTGCCGCGCTGAATCAGCTGGGGTATGCGCAGCCGCAGCCGCAGGACCCTTTGGCGGCCGCCTTGGCCAGCTTGGGCCTGGGCAACGTGGACCTACAAAGCCTTGGGCAAAGCCTTCAAGGCTTGTCGATCCCCGGCCTCGACTTGGCGTCCATTGGCCTGGAAAGCCTCGCGAACCCGAGTCCCACACCAGGGGTTGTTTCGCGAAGGGGCAAGGGGTACAAGGGCCCGCCAAAGGGCCCGCCAAAGGGCAAGGGCGGCGGCAAGGCCCGTATTCAGGCGGGCACGCTCGAGCTCGAGTCGTTCTGTTGGGCATGCCTCAGCGCCAGGATCTGCCGGTTCTCACATCGCAGGAAGTGCAGGAGCGGATTGGTTTTGCAGGGCTTTGCCAGCAGCCACTTGCAGCAGGAGCCTGGGGTCTTCGTCAATGCCGCCACGCAGAGGGATGAGAGGAAATGTAGAGCATTGCTGGCGCACAAGGACGCGCTGGAACTTTGTCTCAGAACGATCCCAGCCTGGCTGCTTCAATGATTTGTCTTGACGGCAGGATTTCAATCGAGTGGACGACAAGGAGCCCCCACGCTCGACACTTGTTTTTTCGAGAGCCAACCCGCGCGCTCAGGATTCAGAACATCGGACAGCTGTCCACATTTGCATCCTGAAAAAGATGCCAGAGGAGTTGCTCGCGCTTTAACTCCTGTTTGCCGTGAATTGGCAAGCCTGCGATTCGTTTGTTTCAACTTCAATGCGAAGCTGCCAGGGAAGCCCCAGGTCAGAGACGGCCCCGTCTGCCCCTCTTGTTAAACGGCACGTGCGAATCTCGAAGCGGGGGGAAACGGCTCGCAACGCGACAGGCGGCGCGTAAGCGGGCCCTGCATGTTGTTCCGGGCCGGGCCAAAGGGGCCAAAGGGGCCAAAGGGGGCCAAAGGGGGCCAAAGGGGGCTGCCTTGAACTTTGGCCGCCTTCGTCAGCCCTTCAAAGCCAAGGCTTCGGCTTTTGCAGCTTCGGCTTTGGGGCCTGGGCGGATGCAGCGAAAGTTTCGCGGTCTGGCCCATGGGAAAGCCCTACCGCTGAAATATGGAATTGAGAGACCGGCGTGCATGGCAATGGAACATCTGTTTGACTCCACTGGCTCAACCTTGCAATGTTCGAAGCGCCAGGATGTTTGCCTCGGCATCTTGAACCGGGATGACTTCACAGAAGTCAATGCAGTGGACCAGGCGATTTTTTTTTGAAAAGTTCAAAAGCAAGACTTTCAAGATCCAACTCCTAAATTTCTGCGTTGACCAGTTCGGCTACACGATCCTCTCGCTGGCTGCCTCCAACGGAATGGTGAATGTGTGCAAGGCCGTCCTGGATCACCCGGAGTTCACCCAGGTGAACTCCAAGGACCGTCGTTTCAGCGCCGACACGGAGATCTCGTCCAACACCAGAAACAGAAGAATAGCAGAAGGAACAGCAGCAACATACAGCCAGATTTTCAGAGTTGCCACGTTGAGAGTCATGGGCTGAACAGGACAAGTGGGGCGCGACAGCGTTGCATTGGGCGGCTGCCTCGAACCTGGGTGTGGCTCCCAGATGCGAGTTGCATGGATTCTCATTCGCGAAGCGCAAAACAAAACGCACCAAGGAAACAAGGCACACAAACGGTAGACTTCATTTGTGGGAAAATATTAATGTTATAAATGCCATGCATTTCACCCATATTCAGTACTTATTCGCGAGGCTCGGTGTGCACTGCGATCTTGGAGCACCCGGCCTTTGTGGAGGCGCACGTGGTGGCCTTCAGCTTCAAGTTCGAGAACCAGACCGCGCTGCAGGTGGCCGAGGACTGAAGTGACTCGTGTTGACTCGTGTCTTCGGGGAGAAGTCTTCGGACCTCTTCGGACCTCTTGGCCGGGCTTTTCGGGCTGACCTTTAGGAAAGAGGCTGCGGCGACGCAGAGCAGGCACGGCACGGGCTGGGCCCCGGAGGGCCCCGGAGGGCCGCGGAGGGCCGGAGGGCCCCGGAGGGCGCTGCGGACATGGCAGGCGATCAAGAAAGCACTGAGCGCTTAAGTCCAGCCAGCTTGAGCTCGCAGAGTTAGGGCTACACAGAGACGGGCACAGGACCTGTTGACTTGCCGGGTCCAGATGCAGGGAAGCTGGAGGAGAAACAAGTGCGCGAACTGCGCAGTTGTTGCAAAAGGCGACGACAGCAGTCGTGTTCGCGTTTGCTCTGAGGTGCTGACGACAGCAGACATTCAGCGCGCGGCAAAGCGACTGAACGTGGAGCTTCGGGAGAATGTCGCTGGGCCGTGGCCGGGCATCTCGGGGTTTCGCCGTTTTTGACGCTAACTGACCCTACCCCCCCCTATGGAATCAATGCCAAGAGCGCAGCCCTTCCTCCAGAAGTCGCAAACACAAACACGGAGACCAGCCTGCCATATTCTGATTTGGTTTGGTTCAGATTCGCAGCTGGGGCGAGGACAGTGGGTTCTAAATGGATGCCGTGTTCTTGGTATGGCGTTTGGTGGCAATGAACTTGGCCCGCGGACTCAGAGTTTTGTGAACTGGGCAGAGAGTGCCACCTGGGGTCTTCAGCTTATTTACACGCTGACGCGACACAGCCGGCCACCGGGCACCCCTTCCCGTTCTTTGATTTCCTGTCCCTCCAAGTCCTGTCCTTCCACTTCACTGCCGTTTCAGCTCCCTTCATTTCCTTGAAGACTCCTTTATTCGCAATTCCTTTCCCTTTTCGTTTCCGCTGTCCGGTCCCCTTCACGTTCTGCCCTTGCATTTTCCTGCATCGGTTTCTCTCGGGTGCCCTCCTCATTTTCGTGCAATTCCTTTGACTTTCATTTTGTTCACTTCCAGTCACTCCTGTTTCCTTGCATTTCCTCTTCAGCCCCTTGTTTCGCATCGCCAGCATGCATAGCATCATCCGCATCATCCGTAATGATGCTGGCAATGCTGGGGGTGTTGTCCAGTATTAGGCACCACCCAAGAAGCGCTCGTTTTGTGACTCTGCGGGGAGATGCTACAAAATTCCTCAAAAATCGCTTAAACGAATCCGCAAATCCTTCGCCCCTTATAAGAGTGGGCCCAGCACAAAACGTATGCGCATGTGGTCGGAGGCATGGGGCGGACGGCCTTATACCTGAAGGTAAGCCCTGCGGGCTTGGCCTGCAGCCCGATCACGTCCGGTGGCCGGCTTGCACGCTGACGCGACACAGCCGGCCACCGGGCACCTTGCCCTGCCCATTCTGTCACTTCCCTTTCCTGTAAGTCCGATTAGTAGATGTTAAGATTTTAAAATTCTAAAAACTTTGAGATTCTAAGGGTCTCAGATTTGAAGACTTTCGGAATTTAAGGTTTCAATGGTTTAAGAATTAAGGTTTTAAGATTCAAAGACTTAAGGTTTTTGAAGGTTATAACAGCCAGGCCATTGCCCAGCCATTTTCCATCCATTATCAGATTTCGAAGGCTTTAAGATTCTATTTTTTGTGAGATTTTCAGATTTGGCGACTTTCGGAATTTAAGATTTTAAGATCTTAAGATGTCAAGACTTCAAAATTTCAAGATTAAGAGTTTAAGGAATTTAAAATATAGCCCGGATTGAAGGAATTTTATTATATTTTACTTGTTTATGAATTTAAGATTTTCAGATTGCAATAGTTCGAGATTTAAAGAATTTAAGTTTTTGAAGCTTTTAAGATTCTGAGATTTGAAGATTTTGAGAATTTAGGAATTTCATATTTTAAGATTTTAACATCTGAAGATTCAAAGACATGAGGGTTTTAAGAAGTCAAGATTCGAAGACTTTAGGATGTTTATATTTCAGGCTGTAAGATTCTAACTTCTAAGGTTGTAATTTTAAGATCTTAAGGTTTCAAGATTTCAAAATTTCAAGATTAAGAGTTTAAGGAATTTAAAATATAGCCCGGATTGAAGGAATGTAATATTTTAATTTAAGATTTTCAGATTTCAATTGTTCGAGGTTTAAAGAATTTAAGTTTTTAAAGCTTTTTAAGATTCTGAGATTTTAAGATTGTAAGACTTTAGGAATTTCATATTTTAAGAGTTTAAGATCTCAAGATTCTAAGACATAAGGTTTTTAAGATTTCAAGATTCGAAGACTTTAGGATGTTTTTATATTTTCAGATTTTAAGATTCTAAGTTCTAAGATTTTAAGATCTTGAGATTCTAAGATTGATTGTTAGATTTTAATTTAAGATTTTAAGAATCTAAGACTTTAGGATTTTGAGATTTCAATCCAGGCCATTTTCCATCCATTTTCCATCCACTTTAAGATTTTAAGATTTTCAGGTTGCACGTTTTCGGCAAAATTAGCCCGACTTAGGGGACAACATCCCCAGCATCACCCGCATCGCCAGCATGCATAACATCACCCGCATCATCCGGGATGATGCTGGCATTGCTGGGGGTGTTGTCCAGTATTAGGCCCCCTAAAAATACTTGGCGCTGCGGGGAGATGCTACAAAAATCGCTTAAACCAATCCGCGAATCCTTCGCCCCTTATAAGGGCGGGCCCAGCGCAAAAATTCTGCTCATGTTGCTCATGGTCCGCTCATTGTCGGCGGCATGGGGCGCACGGCCTTATACCTGAAGGTAAGCCCTGCGGGCTTTGGCCTGCGGCCCGATCACGTCCGGTGGCCGGATTTACACGCTGATTCTAAGGGTCTCAGATTTGAAGACTGTCGGAATTTAAGGTTTCAATGGTTTAAGAATTAAGGTTTTAAGAGTCAAAGATTTAAAGTTTTTGAAGGTTATAACAGCCAGGCCATTGCCCAGCCATTTTCCATCTATTATCAGATTTCGAAGGCTTTAAGATTTTATTTTTCGGAGATTTTCAGATTTGGCGACTTTCGGAATTCAAGATTTTAAGATCAAGTCAAGATTCGAAGACTTTAGGATGTTTATATTTTCAGATTGTAAGATTCGATCTTCTAAGGTTGTAAGTTTAAGATCTTGAGGTTTCAAGATTTCCAAATTTCAAGAGTAAGAGTTTAAGACTGTAGGAATTTCATATTTTAAGAGTTTAAGATCGCAAGATTCTAAGACATAAGGGTTTTACGATTTCAAGATTCGAAGACTTTAGGATGTTTTTATATTTTCAGATTTTAAGATTCTAAGTTCGAAGATTTTATGATCTCGAGATTCTAAGATTGATTGTTAGATTTTAATTTAAGATTTTAAGAATCTAAGACTTTAGGATTTTGAGATTTCAATCCAGGCAATTTTCCATCCATTTTCCATCCACTTTAAGATTTTAAGATTTTCAGGTTGCACGTTTTCGGCAAAGTTGGCCCGACTTAGGGGACAACATCCCCAGCATCCCCCGAGACTTTAGGATGTTTTTATATCTTCAGATTTTAAGATTCTAAGTTCGAAGATTTTAAGAACTCGAGATTCTAAGATTGATTGTTAGATTTTAATTTAAGATTTTAAGAATCTAAGACTTTAGGATTTTGAGATTTCAATCCAGGCCATTTCCCATCCATTTTCCATCCACTTTAAGATTTGCAGGTTGCACGTTTTCGGCAAAGTTGGCCCGACTTAGGGGACAACATCCCCAGCATCCCCCGAGACTTTAGGATGTTTTTATATTTTCAGATTTTAAGCTTTAGGATTTTGAGATTTCAATCCAGGCCATTTTCCATCCATTTTCCATCCACTTTAAGATTTTAAAGATTTTCAGGTTGCACGTTTTCGGCAAAGTTGGCCCGACTTAGGGGACAACATCCCCAGCATCCCCCGAGACTTTAGGATGTTTTTATATTTTCAGATTTTAAGCTTTAGGATTTTGAGATTTCAATCCAGGCCATTTTCCATCCATTTTCCATCCACTTTAAGATTTTAAGATTTTCAGGTTGCACGTTTTCGGCAAAGTTGGCCCGACTTAGGGGACAACATCCCCAGCATCCCCCGAGACTTTAGGATGTTTTTATATTTTCAGATTTTAAGATTCTAAGTTCGAAGATTTTAAGATCTCGAGATTCTAAGATTGATTGTTAGATTTTAATTTAAGATTTTAAGAATCTAAGACTTTAGGATTTTGAGATTTCAATCCAGGCCATTTTCCATCCATTTTCCATCCACTTTAAGATTTTAAGATTTTCAGGTTGCACGTTTTCGGCAAAGTTGGCCCGACTTCGGGGACAACATCCCCAGCATCCCCCGCATCACCGGCATCATCCGCATCAATGTCGGCCAAGGATGCGGATGATGCAGGTGATGCCGGGGATGCTGTCCACTATGGGCACCCCCCAAAAAACACTCGTTTTTTGACTCCGCGGGGAGATGCTCAAAAAGCCGCCAAAAATCGCCTGAACAAATCCGGAAATCCTTCGCCCCTTATAAGGGCGGGCCCAGCGCAAAAGTATAGCGCATGGTCGGCGGTGGGTCGGCGGCACAGGGCGGCCGGCCCTATACCTGAAGGTAGGCCCTGCGGGCCTAGGCCTTCGGCGATGTCACGGACCACGGGGTCAGGGGCCCCCGGTGGCCGGATTTACACGCTGACGCGACACAGCCGGCCACCGGGCACCTTGCCCTGCTCGTTCTGTCACTTCCCTTTCGTGTAAGTCCGATTAGTAGGTGTTAAGATTTTCAGATTCTAAAAACTTTGAGATTCTAAGGGTCTCAGATTTGAAGACTGTCGGAATTTGAGGTTTCAATGGTTTAAGAATTAAGGTTTTAAGATTCAAAGATTTAAAGTTTTTGAAGGTTATAACAGCCAGGCCATTGCCCAGCCATTTTCCATCTATTATCAGATTTCGAAGGCTTTAAGATTTTATTTTTCGGAGATTTTCAGATTTGGCGACTTTCGGAATTTAAGATTTTAAGATCTCAAGATTTCAAGGCTTCAAAGTTTCAAGGTTAAGAGTTTAAGGAATTTAAAATATAGCCCGGATTGAAGGAATTTTATTATATTTTACTTGTTTATGAAGTTAAGATTTTCAGATTGCAATAGTTCGAGATTTAAAGAATTTAAGTTTTGAAAGCTTTTCAGATTCTGAGATTTTAAGACTTTGAGAATTTAGGAAGTTCATATTTTT